TGCAATCATCAACAAGAAACAAATTCAAAACTCGGGGAGCTTGTCTTGAAATTTTTATACCTTGGAGCTGTCCTGAATTTGCTACTTGGGAGAGGGCAGTGGATAATGCTTGAGCTGCTAGAATAAAGAGGAATGGAGGCAAAGGGTCACCTTGTCAGATTCCTCTTTGAGCTTCAAAATCACCTCTTTTTGTGCCATTGATCAACACTAAAAAGGTCGCCGTTAACAAACATTGGTGAACTATTTTCCTGAAATGAGGGTGAAAACCCAGTTTCTCCATGAGAGCTAAGATGAAGTGCCATTTCATCCGATCAAATTCCATGTTCATATCAACTTTAATGGCCATGTAACAACTCTTACTCTTTTCCCTTGATTTCAGAAAGTGGAAAAGCTCGTGGGTGAGAAGAACATTATCTGAGATGCTTCTTTGATCAACATAGGTTCCTTGAATTTGATCTATCAACAAAGGCATGACTTTTTTTAGTCTATTAACCAGGCATTTGGTCAAAATTCTATAGCTGGCATTTGTAAGGCTGATTGGTCTATAACCTGTAATCTCAATAGGCTTCTTTGTTTTAGGGATAAGGACAACGTGTGTTCTATTTAGCTCAGTGCTGATTGTACCTTCTGAGAAAGCCATCTGTAGAGCTTTGACAACCTCCTTCCTAGTGTCATGCCAGAAAGTTTGATAGAAGAGAGCTGGAAAGCCATCCGAACCAGGAGATTTGTTGGGATTCATGGAAATACTTGTCAAAAGATGCTAGAAAGCCATCTTTTGATTGTGCAAAAGATGCTTCAAAAAATACTTGCCAAATTCATAAATGGGGGAGTCATATAACTTCCAAGACTGAATTTATTGGTGTTTGAATAGGAGCTCAATCAAAGTTATACCTCAATTCATCGGCAAAGTATTAGAGAATGGCATAGTTAAATTTCAATAAGGATAGAAAATAATTGCATTTATGAATGTGATAATTACATCCTATTTATAGACTAAAACAAAGATCAAACTTATTCAAGCTCAAACTCTTAAATTCTATCTATGACTACTCTATGTAGTCTATCTTAATCCACACACCAATTCTTATCTTAATTCCCTAACACGCCCCCTCAAACACATGGGGATCAGAAATCTTCATGTGTTTGATCATAAATGGTCGCAATATGGTGATAGCTCTGTAGATGATGATGATTTTAATGGTGTCTTGTTGTGAAGATGATAACAAGCTTATTGGAATGATGATGATGATGGCAAACGATGACCGACATGATGAGAACCTGTGATAATGTGTCCAAATCTCCAAATCTGTTGTGATAATAATGTGGCAAACTAACGATGACATGGCCGTGCTGATAGCATGATATTGCTTCCTCAAGAGAGAACCTCCATGGGTTGATGATGAAAATTGTCAATGGGCCAACCATGGGCCAAACTAAAAATAGGCCAAAATAGGCCATGAAAAGACCTCACTTTTAGTGGGTCAATTAAGAATGCCACAATGGGTTGGCTTCTTAAGCCAATCAAAGAATAGGCCATATCTGGCCAATATCAAAATAGGCCAATAAGGGCCAATAAAACACCTTAATGGGTCAATGAGCTAAACGGCAGTGCCTCCATGGGCTTCCTCTTTTTCTTTTATTATTTTTTTTGCTGTGGGAGATTTCCAAGAAGGTCATAGAGAGTTCAGAAACGTCTTTACCAGGAGAGAAAGAATAACTAGAAAGTTTGCCACGGTTAGAAAATTGTCGAGCTTCAAAAGCCTTGAGAAGCTTCCGCACTTTGAGACTCAATGCAACATAATGACACCGATCACTGCCAAAGGTGTGCTTGGAACAGATTGCTCCACTCTCGAGAAGCATCCTAGTTGCATCAAGGTAGCCAACCAAACAACCGAGAGAAGGAGAAGGAAGCGATTGAATGACCACCTTCCGATGCTCCAAAAGATAAGCAAGATGGACAACATGTCTATACTTGGAGACACCATATAGATTACAAGAAAGAGCTAAGTTTGATGTGTAGAGAAGGAACATGGACACTCAAAGATGGGATTATTGCTATAGACAGTAACTACACAGGAGGCACTAGGCCTTGAGATCCAACAATGTGTCATAAGTAGGGGTGAGCATTCAGTTTGTTCGGTTAAAAACCAAACCGAATAAACTAAAATTTTAAAAACTGAATAGTATTTTTGAAAACCGAACTTCTTCAAAACATAACAAATCGAACCGAATTTTTTTTCAGTTATTTCGGTTGATTCGGTTATAACTGAAATACATTGACTATGTTGAGTCAAAGCGGGAAGGCAGAAGAACGAAAACCTAAAAAGAACAAAAAACAAATATTATACCTAAGTTGTAGAGTCGCCGTCGTCGGAGTATCACTTGCCAGCGTCGCCGCTGTTGTTGGTGAGTGGTGCGGTGGTGCCAATCTGCCAGACCGAAGAGAAGATGAAGAGTAACTAAGTAGGATGAAGAGAAGACTGTAGAAGAAGAATTGACGAAGAGAGTAGAAGAAGACTCGACTCGAGGGTTTCGGGTTTCCTAATGACTAATGAGGGCCGAAGAGATGATCCCTTCCAGTGCTAGCTATAGGCATGGCGACAAGTAGCAAACTCCCCAAGTGTACTTTTGTGCTGCTCTCTGTAACCCGTCATCAGCACAAACCTAATATACCCAATAGGTGAATACAATGAGAGCTAAACGATTGAAAGGGAAAACTGTTGGTTCAGCTACTAGCTAGCCTACCAATGGATTGAGGGGCAACATAATTACTAATTTATCCCTAATAGTTCGGTTAATTCGATTAACTGAACCTCGAAATAACACACCCGAAACTGAAAACCGATCTTAATAAAACCGCACTAAAAAATCGAACCGAACCGTTTACTCGAACTAACCAAACCGATCAAACCAAAACCGAAATTTCGGTTCGGTTATTTGGTTTCAACCGAACTTTGCTCACCCCTAGTCATAAGTTGTTTCAATCATTTTGCAATGCAAGCTTCTTGCACTACAAGAAAAAATGGTTTTAGCAACGGACAACCGTTGCTAAATGCTCCCAAAAACCGTCGCTAAAGGTTATAGCAACAGTTTTCTGTCCATGGCGATTGGCGAATATTGGCGTGGCTAAAACTTATAGCCACAAATATTGTACACTGTGGTAGGGCTGCTCATGGGTCAAGTTGGGTCGGTTTACTGCTATTTTTCCAACCGACCCAACCTGGTCGGGTTGCCTGAAAATGTAACCAAAATCGACCCTGTGTTAGGCAAAACCGACCTGGTCAGTTTGAGTGCTTGAGTTGAGGGGCTAAGGGAGTAAGGGCGGGCCAAGTTAGAAGTTACCAAGAAAAGAGAAAGTCAAATTGTGTTAGAAAAAGAGGACTGAAATTTGGAATTTTTAAGAAGGCTTCTAATATAAGTAAAAAAGACACATAATTGTAATTTTTTTTGTAATTACCTATTTGGTGTAAAGGACCTTAGAAAATAGGATCCTTCTTTAAACCTTCCATAAAAATGCAAGAAGCTATTAATAGCATCAATGGCATTCCTTGTCTTGCAATGCTTGCCATTAATGGCATTCCTAAAGAGAAGACTAGAAAGTAGAAACTATAAGTAACTATAAGTAACTAGAAAGTAGAAACTAAGTTAGGTACTAACTACTAAGTACTAACTAGGAACTAAATCGGTTTGGGTCGGTTCAGTTTCGATTTTCATGTGTGGAAATCGAAACTAAATCGACCCATCGGTTTATGCTTTTTAGTAACCTGAAACCGATTGACACTAAAGAAAACCCGACCGACTTGGGTTGGGTGGAACCGGGTTGGTCGGTTTGAGTCTTCTTATGAACAACCCTACACCGTGGCTATAAATATATGTATAGCCACAGTTTTAACCGTTGCTAATTTAAAACTTTATGGCAACGGATTTATTATGTATTGTTGCTATTATCAATCTGTAGCAATGGTTTTAGCCGTAGCTATAAAATATACGGTATTGATGAATAACTAGCAATAGCAACAGTTTTAGATAAAATCGTCACTAAAAGTATTAAATTTCTTTTGTATTACTATAGTTTTTTATAATAATGATTACTATACGGTAGAAAAACCGTTGCTAAAAGAGATGAAGCAACGGTTTCGTAAAACCGTTGCTAAAAGTTTATTTCTCATTTAAATTCTGAATGGACGCCATTACAAAAAAAATAAAAAATAACGTGTAAGGCAACGTGGCTTGACCGCACTGGGTTCTGCAGTTTAAGGGAAGACTTAGGAATCTCCGACCACCAGGAATGTGATTATGTTAGCGGCAACTGGAGATAGATGCTGGGAACCCAGAAAATTCGTCATTAAAACAACCTCTCTCCAGCTTATTAGATTATAAGTCGCCAATCATAAATGTGGTCGGTCTTAGAGAGAGAGAGAGAGAGTCTACGCATAAATCCAGAATTCAAAGGATGAACAAATGTGTAAGGCATCAATACAATATATCCATAATGGTTTTTGTTCAATATACACATTTTATAAATTCTTTTTCATCACAAAAAAAGAAAAGAGAATTAACAAAATTATCCTCATTGCATCTGAATAGTTGCAAATATGCACGTGCATCACACTCAAGACTTTCGCTTTGGATCATAAACTTCGGTCTATCAAGTTCAACAAAAATGAATACATAAGGATTGATGTCAATAATTAGCTATGTAAGTTAAATAATGTAAGAGTTTTATATGCATTATGCACTTGCCATTGATTTAATAAAAAATAATAAAATAGAAAAAGTAGCAACATTCTACATTCTAATGAAGTTGATTTTTTGGTCTGAATGAAAGTTCTTTGAATTTTCTATTCTTGTCATCAAGTTATTTTAAATGACAAGAATTTCCCACACTGCTCCCAGATCTGCAACAACTAAGGTTGGTACAAGGGAAATCTGCACCAACACAACCCACCTTCAGATCCTTCTTTGCAGGACCTCTTTTGCCTTGCCTGGAATTCATATTGTGTAGACCATAAGACTTAACAAGAGCCAAATTTAAATTTTTAGACAAAGAAAGGGAAGGTTCTATAATGAACACAAGATCCCCAATACCAAAAACAAAAGAATTAATCTACAAAAATTAATAACTGAGTAATGAATTGTCAAAACCATATAATAATCCAAAATATCTGTTTATACTTAGGCAATTAGAAAACATTCCAAGATTGAATTTTTCAAGTTCCATGCAGCAGAGGATCTAGATTAACTCACACAATTCCTTGAAATAGTGTTGGGTTTTGTGGTTTTGGAGCTCAATGGTCCCACTGACTAGCCATGCAGGGCTTTGTCTACAGTTTTCAATCACTAATGGAGATTCACTTGGTATGGTCACTACAGTTTTCAACAATCAAAATACTGTTGAGCTCTATAGAAAGCATGGGTGATGTTACAAAACCAGTATAGATAAGTAAACATGTTTCAAAGGACCAAATAGGACATATCCGGATCCAAATTTAGTTCATTAATATCTTGATTAATAGAACCGCATTGTGATATGCACTTGTTCTAATGCACTTCTACATGATGAACCTGAATTGGTAGAGTCAGTCATAAGAATTCAGATCTAATCCCAGTCAACCCCACAATCTTCTTTTCTTATCAATAGCAAAAAACAAAAAAGATGATGCAGGGGAGTAGTACATCTTCAGAATTCCTTTTCACCTCCCCTATGATTGTGTTAAACAAGAGATATAGGTTCAAAGGGGATATGCATCGTGAGAACCCAGGTGCCATGGAAGCAGTCCCAATAATTGGGCCAATTTTTGACATTTTTATTGTTTATTAAAAGATGATACAGGGGAGAAGTAGATCTTCAGAATCCTAACTCTATTGTCTTAAGAGTGATTTTTTCCCTTCACAAGTATAAGCTAGGACTGATATGTTCATGATATGTCCAATTGCCTATCTGGAAAGATTCTTAACAAGGTTTGCTCCCACATAATTGAATTCATCAGCATTCAGCACATAGCATACAAGTTGTTGTTTTTAAACCCATGTTCCCATTGCTTGAAGGGAAGATGCTTGGGCAGATACTAGTCACCAAACAAACTAGACCCGAAGGGAAAATTGTGAGCAAGGTTAGACATTAATACCTTCCTATTTTCTTATCTACTAGTACTGACTTCCTAGACAGTACTACTTAAAATCAATCCCTTGTATATACATCAAACCCAACAAATTAATCAATCTCCTTATCCAAGTGAATGAGAATCGCATCAGGACCTATACATGACTATAAATGAATGGCCTGAATAAAGATGAATCCTATAGGGCCCATACAGAACACAACTTTATGACATAAATAATATGTCAATTCTTCCATTCCAGATAAACAATATTCCATAGGCACGGGCATGCATGCATTTGCAAAGGCATACAGATACATAAATGTATTTCTTTTTCTATTACACATAGATAAACGGAATTGCTAATGCCAGTGCAATAGGTATACAGATACATAAATGTATTTCTCAATGGAACTTTGCTACAAATGCCAATGCAATAGGTACACCAAATATAAAATCCCCAAGCTTTCGATCCCTGTGAAAAGACAAGAAAATTCTTCAACTATAGGAACGAACATGTAATTTGTTCATGATGTCATTAAATTAGCCAAGAACATATAATTTGTGATAGAGTTCCACCAAGAAAGTGATAATTATTCAAGATGTCATAAAATCAAATAAGAAGGGACTAAATTCTTCATATTCCATTTCTCTTTGTTTCCAAGTATGTCCTATGGATCTATACAATAGTCACTCGCATTTTGTTTTTTGTAATAGTGTGCTTTTTTTTGTTATGCTACTAATAGCTCTTTTAATAGGTATTACATGACGGTATCAAAGTGTGAAATCCCCTATTCAGGAGAGCTCCAAATGATTAGGTGGTGTCTCAACTTATGGATTTAATGAAAAAGCTGTGTTCTGCTAGTCCCAATTAGCACACTTGGGAATGGGAAGAGGATATGGAGGTGGAGCAAGGATGAGGTGTTCTCAATTAAATGCTTTTCTAAGAACCTGATTGGAGTTAGTGTAGAATAATCTAATAATTCTCTAATTGTAAGAAGCCCATATCACCTCCTAAAAAGATGGAATTTACATCATATTTTCAGACAAGAAATCATTAGATATGGTCCAATATGATAGTGATATTTCTTCTACTCGTTATTAATAGTAGAGAAAGACTCAAACTTACCCATATGCATCAACAATCTCTTGAAAAGCATAAATAAACTTATTTGTTTGGAAATATGTTAGTGTAGATTCCTTCATATTCAAGGCCTGGAATATGGATCCAACTTTTGAGTTGTTGTCAAATGCTACTCACTGTAAGGCATCTTGAATCTGCACAAAACAAAGAATGGCATATTAAGGGTTTAGTAAAATATTTTGACTTATAGATGATTTATTAAGGGTATGATATATGTTGAACTAGAGAAATATTGAACATCTAAAGGAAGAATACCTGATTTGTAGCAAAAAGAAAAATAAAAGGCTCCAATCCTCTACAACAAGAAGTTTCTTTGTTAAATCAAAGCTATGCATTTTCAGTGTATGATATATATATGGATTTTTCCTTCCTCACCTTCAAGGTTTCAAAGATAAAAAGTTCAAGTATTAAACACGAATTCAACTAATAAATACCACTAATAGCGTTCTATTTTTTTAGCTTAATGGAAAAAAAAATGGATAGAGATGGGAAGAAGAAAATTCCATGGAAGAAATTCCCACATTACAACCCCTTAAGAAACAAGAGACTCCATTTAATAGAATAAGTTTGGACTGACCAAAAAGCTCCACCGTTTATATTCGTAGTTGATAATCGTTAACAAATTGTCTTGATGATGCATCAGCCTAACACCAATAGTAGTCTTTAGCTCAGAAATTTTCCCAGATACCTAAAAGTTGAAATTTTCATAGATTTTCAGATTATGCCATAGCAGAAATTTTCTTTTGATAATAAAATAAAAATTCAATAAGAAAATAAGTATAAAATATATAAGCAGACCCAATTAGGCTTGTATTTTTAAACTATGGGATTGAGATTGGATTAGCAAACTTAGGCTTTGACCTTAGGTTGGGCTAGGCCCAGAACCAAAGCCCAAGTCTTAGCATTGGGACTGGGTTGGTCCTAAACCCAACCTAACATGACTAAGTGGCATCCCTGCTCATATGTGCATCTTTGCTTAATAAAAAGATTTTGGCTTAATGAAATTTTACCTTGAAGCTTGCAGTATTCAAGTCTTCATGAGTCTACAACTACAGAATGAAAGCAGAATCAACGGTCCCTAAGAGAAGCCAATTCAATTCCATAAATATGATAGAAAGCTTAGAAATATTGGCTATCTCAACATTGACAAACCTTTGCTTATTAATAATCTAAAGGGCCAGGGGGTCTGAAATAGAGCACAACCAAGTAATCACCACTTGGTAGCTTCATTCTAGTATCAAACCATTCAAGCCCATGAGAAGGTTATTTTTTATCCTTGAAGAAACTCCACCAGTTCTTCCTTGAGGGATTGGGATATACTGCCGATCCAGTATTGCTAATATCATCTCCAGAATCCATCTACACTAAAAGTTACATATAAGCTCAGGTTAGGTCAACCCCAATTCATGTCAATAAATTACATAATTGATAATATTATTAATAAGTTGCTTATTTTGTATGCGTGAGGATAACATGATAAACTTGACTGAAAATAGCTAGGAAGCTTTATTTTTTTTATAATTATATAATTGGGTTGGTGAGATTGGACCTAAAATTATTCAAATCCCTGCCCAGGCCTGTAGTTTGCAGTCTAACCCTCTCCCAACCCAATTGGTTTGTATGCTTTACTCAACAGCAAAATTAACAAATGTGCTTAACTACCAAACTAATTGCTATTCTCTATACATGATTAAGACACTCCTTTGGCTTTATATATGTATATTACTTAACTGTAATATTAGTATAATGAAAAAATAAAAAATGATGGAAACAAATGTTATAATGTTGTGATAGAAGGAATAGTTGACCAAAGGACCGATGGATATCATCACCATTAGAGTTACTTAAAATCTGAGCACTAGACTTTTATATAGATGACATTATCTAGAGATGGACCCACTTAGCATGTTCAACTTCAGCCAAGTAGGAGCTTAACCAAGTTTGGACGCCTCCCCCTCAAGTTGTGAAACTACACTTTGATAAATACATTAGAAAATCCAGGTCTCTAGAGAAAAGAATTTTTAACAGTATTTAAGAGAGATCTTATTGGCTAATTTTAGGCCCAATTGGTTTGGGTTTTTATATTTGAGAGCTTTTTTTTTTCTAGCCACTATCTGGTTCTAGACATGATTGTATATTTTTAAAGCTTTGTTTAGTTACTAACAAGCTCTTCTGATCTTATAAATTATCCAAAAAAATCATGGAATGGCACCCCATGGATCATATCCAAAATATGCAAACATATAATCTTCATCTGTTTAGATCAATACATTCATACCATTATTGAAGCAAATGAAAAAAATATATATTAAGGAAATTATAGGGGTAAATGAAAATTTTCTAAAACACCAGAGCATAATTGTCCAACTAATTCCTACATTTCTCAGCCATGAACATTGTAAGGACATGCATTGGCTCAAAATATGAAAAACTATTTTATTTTCATATCTTTTTTTTTCCATTATTTATTCTGGTTTCATATGGACTGACCTTCCAAAACACATCTTGGTGTACCTTTATAGCGCTCAATTGTGCCTTCGGAAGATGACAATAGAATATGGAAAACAAACCACAATGGTGAATCTTCATAGAATACCTTCTAATAACTCTTTTGATGAACCGCATACCATCATTTAAGAAACATGTTATTAGTTTATAGTTTATCCATCATGGTAAATTTTTATTAGTTTTTAATCACCTACGAAATAAAGGCATTTTCTGAGCGGCTAACACATAATCCCACAAAGAATTGAGCTACTTCCTACAATGCACAGTAATCAAATAACACAAATACACTTGTAGATTTAAGTAAAGTATAAGTAAACAACACAAGAGTTTGATCTAAGAAGGTAAAGTAACTTACGCTTTTCAGATTTACACTTTCTTTACACACCGTTACTTTGCAAACCCCAATGCCTGTTTATTGAAATGAGACTATTGAAATAGAGGTATGCACACCTTTTATTTTCAAATCCATAGGAGAGAGAGAGAGAGAGGAAAAATAAAGGAGACAACAGAGAATAATTGAGGAGGAGAGAGGGGGAAAGGAAGAGAGAAAACAACAGCGGGGAAGGAATAGCAACAAGAGAGAGAGAGAGAGAACGGAGGGAACGCAGGCCAAAATTTTGGAGAGCGCGCATTAACCCCCAAGTAGCCACAGTCCTATCAAATATTAGCTTCCGTCTGGTTTAGTTGGTTAGTTTAAACAACGGATTACGAGACCGTGACAAACCCGTTGCAAGTAAATCAGTTTACAACCACGGGCAAATAACTCTGTTGCTATAATATAGTGTTTAGCCACGCTTTTTTGTCCGTTGCTAGAAAAACCGTGCTTAAAACCCATTTTTCTTGTCGTGTTGCTCAGGAGAAATAAATTGCAGTCGAGACGTAAGAAATAGTTCCAAAGACATCACTGGCAGGAACCTTCTTGAGAGAAACTAAGTGATGTGACGAGACCACATCACTCCCCTCCTAAGCTAAATCAAGAATATCATAGAAGCTTTCTTCAAAAAATCTTAGGGAGCCATGAGTAACGTATTAGGCCTTGACATATCTATTTCTTCCAAAACCATGGATGAAAAACTAATACAAAAGAAAATCTAATACGAAAGAGAGAGAGTTCAGACCCAGCGGGTGGTTAAGAAGCCGGCCACCCGCTGGAAACAGAAAAGACACAATGAGAGGTTTCTAGGTTCAATTCTTGGGCTTTCATACTAAATTAAAATTCAAAAAAGTTAGAAAATAATTGTATTTATGAATGTAATAATTATATCTTATTTACAGGCTAAAACAAAGATCAAATCTATTCAAACTCAAATTCTTAAACTCTATTTATGACTAGTCTATTTTAATTTATCTTAATCCATACACCAATTACTATCTTAATTCCCTAATAGGCGTCAAGGTTGAAAGTAGTGCCAGCAACCACACATTCAGCATATTTCTTGGATTTCAAGAACCAAGCAAGACGTGAAAATTAAGATTCGCTTTGCTGCTCCTCAATTCGGTATTCTTCAATACGGAGAAGTACGAACAGGCCCAATGCAGAGTTATAAACATTTAAAAGGTCAAAAATTCACACTTTATGCATCCATACCCGCCCATGAATTAGCATCAATTTTGAACTGGCACCTACCCCAAATGTACTTTGAGCCTACAAATTCTGACCCTAGGCTGAACTGTCATTCTCCCTTCTTTGATACCCCAGACCCTGGAATCTCAACCTTCTTGCCATTTCTCCTTCAAATCAATCCCAGGCAATGGACACCACCATCCATGCATAACAAAAACATGGCAGAATTATCAAAAAAGAAATCTTCAAGAAAAGATTACCAAAGGAGGGAAGAACTTGCAAAGAAAGGGTTACAACCCTTTTGAATATTTTCCGTAGCTTAACAGGCAGCCTTTGTCTCTTTGATTTACATAGTACTTTGGTGTCTAGCAACGAGAGAGGAGCCCACAGATTGACCGGTGGAAAGGATGACCATTTGATGGTGAAGAAAAGTGAGTGTGGTAAAAGATTAATGGTGGTGTTTAGATTTATTTATTTATTTATTTATTTATTGATGCGTGTTCAATGGCTGTGCTGTCGATAATGGTCATTTAGGAAACTTGTTGAAGGACGTTGGAGTGTGGAGGTAGGGGTGGTTGTGAGCCGAGCTTCTTATGAGTTATTTGAGTTCGATTCGATTTGGTTTAAACCGAATTTCAAGCTGAATTTGAGCTTGATATATAAGCTCATTTGCTAATTAAGCCAAGCTTGAGCCCTGTGAAGCTTGACTCGTGAGGCTCACAAACGTAATCGAGCCTAGTATAATAAATAAATAATTTTTATTATATACATACATACATACATATACATATACATATACATATAAATATATAAGTATATATAATAAATAATTTTATTATATATAATAATATTTTTATTTTTTATGTATAATAGTAAATAATTTTTGTATATAAAATAAAAAAATATTTTTATATGTATAATTTATTTTAGAAAAAAATTGGCTTACAGTCGAGCTCAAGTCGAGCCAAGATCGAGCTCAAATCTCTAGCTCGAATCGAGCTCGAGCCTAACACAATTTCAATGAGCTAAGCTCGAATATCCAAGTATTCAGCTCGAATTCACCCCTATGTGGAAGTGTTTGGCTTGTTCTGCTGATTAGTGGAGTGTGGTGAAAGAAGAAGAATGACCTCTCACACGTGATTGAGACAATAACTAAAACAAACAAAAAAATAAATATGTCAATAGCAAGCCCTAGCTTCATTCCTCATATATTCACACTAAACAAAAAATGTTACGTATAGATACCATTTATTTCATGTATAGAAAAAAATATTACATATAGATACCATATATTTCATGTATAGAAAGTCACGTCACCCAAACCAATACCCTTCCCGTTTTAATGTATATATATATATATATATATATATATATAGATATAAATATATAGATGAACTGAATATTAGCTGAACTTGATGGCTGTGCTAAAGCAGGTGTAACCAATAATAACGCCTCACAACCCCTAACACAACCATGAGAGACAGCTAATCCGGACTCAACTTGTATTGTACATATCAAGCTTTTTTGCTATACCTAGCGAAACAGTGAAGGATCTCATTTTGATGGACGCCAAAATTTTCTTTTCTATTTCTCTACTTTTGTGATAACGACACTGAAATATGTTCGCACCATTTAAGTGAAATCTTTTACAAGCAAAACCGCATCACTCATGGCACTACCGTTCGCCGTACGCAATTGGTCAATTGGCTGAAAATGTTTCAAATGGCTCTATTGAATAGGTAGGTGTCGGTTTTTGGTTCTTTATTTTTTTGGATGAAGTGTAGATTAATATTCTCTATTTATCGGGTAGAAGGCATGTAAAAAGACAAAAATACTCTTCAAGTTTTAAATAAGCAAGAGAACCAGTGCTTCATGCAAAGAAGCTACACCCAAATGGTTGCCGAAGAAGAGGGATTTTTAATCTGCCATCATTGTACTCCTTTTTTCAGTCATTTAATCCACAACAAAAAGGGGTTTTAGACCGCCATTCTAATTAGAGAAAACGAGCAATTCTTATTTTCATCAGGGAAGACAATTAAGATAAAATGGTCTCAAAAATATTAAATTTTAAAAAAATTTTAAGTCACAAATATTATATGATACAGATAACTAAATTGACAGTTTTCTGGAATTCAAATACTACGTGTACTAATATGCAATTTACCCTTGTTTTTACTTGAAACTTGGCAAAGGAGTTCCACAGTTCCAAAAGACTATCATCGCAGATCAGATGTGAAAGCTCCCGGCAGGGCTTCCTTCAGCAGCAGTTAGAGCTTAAAAAAAAAATTGTAGACCAATAATGCAAACTAGTTCCTTTCTTTTAGTACATAAAAGTAGTAGAATACTTGACACTTTAATTTCCAGAACAAGGTTTGGAGTCTGTATGGATTCACCATACCCCAATAGTATAGATTCTTTAACTCGGAAGGTTTGGCAGATGTCTAACTGGTTTTAGTAACAGTACAAATGGCCTTGAAGATAGCTTAGTTGCCAAACCCATCTGATACACTTTACACTTTTACAGAAACCTTAGAATTAGATGCATCTCTTACAGGTCGCCATGCAATCTGCCTTGCTAATCACCAGCTGGTTGAGTTTCCAAAGCAATGGTTGAATTGTTGAAATACCTTCAAAGAGTGCACAAAATCAATTTGGATCTGAGCATAGAAAACCCTTTAAGATCACCTGCCACGTTGACTGGCAGGAGAGGATCGACCTCTCTCACTGCCAAGATCATCATCTCCTATGTCACTCCCATCCAAACAGAGGGCATTGTTATTGACACTCTGCTCGGAACTGGCATTACTGCTTGTGGCTAGAGGCGAGTCCGAAACACTAACTGCCCTTGCTGGCCCTGATCTCACACTATACATAGAGGAAGCTGGGATATTTGTCATCAACGGGCGTAAACTACCTGGAATGCTTCTCCGTATATCCTGTTCAAGAGAAAATACAGAACTTAGTTACTCGATTGAACTGCCAAGTCGGCAATCACACTTTAATTATTTTATCTGACAAAGGCTCTAAAATTTAACACCAATTGAATTGGCTACATCTTTCAGATGATGTGGGAGACTTGCATGATTAGATCATGGTGACCATATCAAAACTATTTATGAAAAAATATGTAATTGAGACTACCAAATGGTGACCTACAACCACCCACAGGTCCCACAAATAAAAACAAATGTCTCATTCTAGAAGTTCTTTAACACAGATTCAAAGAAAAAAAGCTACAGCTTTCTAAGTTGAACAGGAAAATTATAAAAAAGGCATTTATCAATGTTGGTCACAGCTTTTTGGGGTCCTGGGAAGTGTGGACTGGATAAAGATGTAACATTTGGCTTCTTTTCCATAAAGTGGCTGCTCTGAGACTTGAAATTGAATTCTCATGCTTGTCAGCCCAAGATTTTACCATTATACCAAGCAATAGCTACTGACCAGGAAAATTATATAGTACGAAAATATTCTGAAATGTAAAAATTCAGCCGATATCCAGTTCGGACTAGGTAAAAGGCCTATATTCTGCAGTTGATATGGGTAACTGAGCAGTTCAAAGAATTTTTTTTTGAGTATACTATTAATGTAAATTGGAAAAAATACTTGGAACGTATAAGACCATAGTTATTTTTTTTTCCCCACAAAGGAAAAGGTACTGGATGAAAAGGAAAGGGATCACATACCATATGCCTCAGAGCCATATCCAATGATTTCTTTGAAAGTGTTCTTCCAAAGCCCGAGCTATCTGGGGATGATGTGGACTTCCCTCCCAAATTATGTGTAGACCGGTCATCTTGCCTTGGGGGTGCCAGTTTTCGCATGTTTATTACCCTTTCAACCATCTTAGTTCCAATAAGAACAGGGCTGATATTATCACCACCATTGGAATGTGATCGACTCATTGCAGGAACAGAGCTCCCACTGCTATGGATGCTACCATTAGGAGCCCGCCCTCTTGAAGGAGAGCATGATTGCCGTCTAGGTCTTCCATGAGAACCAGGCTCAACAGAAGAGGATCGAGAACTGGGTGCTCCAGGCCTACCCCTAGAGGCTGAAAGTGGCCTTTCCGGCATTGATGTCCTTAAATTTGGAGGAGCATCAAGTGAGAAACCAGGCATCTCAGATGGCTTCCAAGGTCTGGATTTTACTGTTGGTGAACTGCCACGTGATGGCACCGGATTTCGTACTGTTGTTGGGCCTGACTTGGTCACTGAAGAAGACCGGCCAGGAGGAGCAGAGACAGTAGGTACACTTGATGGAGTTGATGGTCGACGTGTTGGTGTTGCTGATCTTGATGTAGTCTTGGGTGCTGGAATTGAGGATCTGGATGTTGGAGTTGAAGACCTAGCAGTAGCTCGTGAAGGAGTTGACGATCTTGCAGGAGCTGCTGGAGCTGCAGGCTTGGAAGCAGGCAATGTGGCCCGTGAAGTAGGTGTGGAAGGTCTAGAGGGTTTTGTTTTAGTGGATAATGTTGGTCGTCCAGTTGGTGTTGCAGGCCTAGATGCAATTGAACCTGGTCCTCCTGATGATGAGGGCCTGCGAGTGCCTGTGATGGAAGAGTTCAACCCAGGGGACAATGTTGATGACCTAGATGTTAAATTGCTCCTTGGAGCAGGTTCTATTTGTGGATTTGCCAGCTGTAGGAAAAGAATATAATTAAAGAAATGGTCATTTCCTAAGGCTGAATATGAGATGTTTTGAACATTCAAAGAAATGTAGTAGTAATTAGAACATTATAAGGATTTTTCTGAACAAAAGAATAAAATTCCATCACTGTAACAAAATGCAACAATGCTACCAAGGAAATGCCATAAATTGCAACAGAATCACAGGTAAATAAGAGGTAGCACAAGCCCCATAATCAAATAGGCTTATAAAAAATAATACTGAAATATATTGTAAATTACACTCCAACTTTCCATACTGAATGTTTTATTTCTTCCCTGCACATTCATTATATGCATGGTTTTGCAACTTACAGGTTACAGCCTTAGAGGCCAGAATCAAGGCTGTCAAATTGCAAGCTGGGAAATAGAAATGAAAAAAAAACTGGGCAATAGACTAGTTTGATTGAGCACCTAGAGAACTGCTCAAACACTGAGACAATCACCAGTAATGCCAAATTATGTATAAACTGATAATTTGTTTAGAATATTTTAATCAAAACGAAATAGGCATATAGAATTATATGGAATAAAAACAATATTCCATTCTATATTTCAAAATATGAAGTTACAGCATCATTAAATTATTAATAGTATATAAGTACTCATTTAGGTCATTCATTGCCTAACCCTGCCGAGCTATCTATCCACCTTGGCAAGCAGTTTGCATAATACTGTGCAGAGTTGTGATTTCTCAAGACCATAAGCATTATGTAGGGCCCGTTTGGCAAGTCTTTTTGAGAAGATCTTCTCGTAACTCTGACAGTCAATAGACGCACTGAGCTTTTGACATAAGATCTGGGCAGCCCGAAGACCGTTTGGCAGACGCGCGTCTTTCCGTGCATCGTTTCGGGTCTTTCCGTGCAAGATTAAAACGTGAAAGACACGGGTAGCTTCATTTGGAGCTTCCCGAAATCAGCCCAAAATGGGCTTCGCGCATCTTTTCAGCGCCACGTCTTTTGGCAGCTAGATCTTCCGTGTGCCAAACGGGAATAGACCGATTTTCGGTCTTCCCGGCTTGTAAACAGCCGAAAGACTGCACAAAAAGACGTGCCAAACGGCGCTGTATTGATTGCTATGATTTCTAGAGATGCATAATTTGAATTTCATCCCAACCATGTGGTACAAAACAGCATGGAGTAAATTAGCAGCAGATCTGATATTGCACCTCGATAGATTAAGATTAAGCAATCTTTCCTACCCTAGACTTTAGTGAAGTTGGCCGAGCTTTGGGAGTTCCAATCTGAGTCATCTGACTCATAATGGTTTTCTGAGAGTCCATCTCCAATGATGGGAAAAGAGGAGTACCAGGTGGAGTAAGAAGCCTGAAAAAAGAAGAGAATTCAACAAATATCAAAATCAATAGGCATAACCTTTCTATCCACATTAAAACAAACTCAAAACAAGAACCTATCAATCCAATAGGCATCAACAGAAGTTGGAACCTAAAATGCATTTCATATTTACATGAGATCTTAGATAATCCCAATAGCCCCTTGATCATAAGAAACTGTAATGAAGCAAAATTTTAAAAGAAATCTGCATTTCCTGGTGAACATGAAATGAACATGAAAATCATTGTGACAACCCCACAAGGTAGAAAAAATAAATAAATATGATAATATGTCCCTCACTGTAGAAAAAAGGTCCTCCATATCCCAGAATTAGCAACAGTACCTGCAACCAAATTCCACTCCCTAGAAATCCATCTTATCTCTCATGCTAGCTAAGATTACCAAATATCATTTAGGAGATACATTTGTTGGATTATTGCAGGATAGTTGAGAATCAACTCCTGACATGCTTCAGCATTGGAAATGAGCATTCTTATGGTAATGGTTGGCTTATTGACAGGATTGCCTTCCCATTTTCTCACTAGATGGTGCTAGGAATTTCAGAGGGTTCTTTTGCCACATATTAATAATGTGATATTGAAGAAATTCTCCTATACCAGATATGCAAATCAGGGTAATGCCAAAGCAATAAGAAATTGGAGCTGAATCCTTAATGATGGATAAAGACTAAAAGTAGAAACTCTTCGATTATATTAAGAAAACCCGATGCCAGGAACTCAAGACCAAACTAGAACTGACCGAAGATTCTGTGGCGAAACCCTGCCTTAGTTCCAACAAGGTTATATCAATAGACCATGGGGTGATCAAGGCAATGCTCTCCAACAAGGTTATATCAATAAACCTGATGCCAGGGACTCAACCTATCATAAGGCCCACAGTGCTCGGTAGTTATTTGAGGCTGAAAGAAAAATCTGCAATACGATTTCCTAACCATTAATGATAGGTTGACAGGTTATGGATTCCAAGACTTCTAAAGATTAGACCATTGCTCTTGAAATAAAGCATGGCTTATGGAAGGAATCATTTTCTTCTTTTTTTTTTCTCTTTTTTTTTTGTTTTAATTAGTAGCTCATGGAAGGAATCTTATTCAATCACATAATCAAGGATGCTAATAAAATGTCCAGGTCACTGGGAAAAGAACTTCACAATCTACTGTGGGATATTTCCTTGAATCTTAATACTTTGTTTGTTTGTAACCGATCTTTTTTCTTTCAATAAAATTTTTCTTTTTACCTTTCAACAAAAAATTTCCTTGAAACATACCCCATAATTGTGTAAATACCATTTTGATGCATAAAGACCTATAACTCACCCGTATATGACCAAATAGTCATCTTGGGATAGGAACATTCAAGTTAGATCATCAAGATACACGGATACAAACAAGAGTGTCATATTACTGTGCTTGCATTGTTAATGGAAGTAATAGTTGAAGTTTGAACCATAAGAAACAGAATCCTCTGTGAACTTCAAATAGCTAAGGTGAGTGATGTCAAGTCTGCACTCTATCTATCAAACACACAAATGCTATTAAAAATTCAATATTACGCAAGTTCAAGAAATGTTTGCATATTACCAATCATAATCATTTTTATCGTTGTCCGAATTCAGGAAATCATCAGCACCAGTCTTTCGGGCAGGTGTAGATGACACAATCTTGAATATGGGAGAACTGCCAGTCTTAGATCCTGCAGAAGCCAAAAAAGAAAAAAAAAAAAAAAGAAAAAGAAAAAACATTTGAGCTAGAACCAAGAGGACCGAAAACAGAAGAGTTTCATTGGTCTGAAACTCAGTTGAAGAGGCTCGCTCCATGGGCTTATTATCAAAGATAACTAAACGAGTATCCTAGAATTCAACCATAAAGAATACAATATTCACAGGAGCTAATCGTTATGTTTCTGATAGCATGGAAATTTATTCAGAGATTTTAGCGAAACCGTGAGATAAAAAAACTTGAATTTACAAGAACGGGCCATAGCTTTTAACGGATCAACTGAAAGCTCGAAACAGGATACACTATTCATTAATCAATTAATAGCAAGTTAAAGCACAAAATCTTCAACTCCTCGATTAGAACATAGGACATCTAGACTTCTAGAGCCACCAAGGAACAGGACAAAGTTGTACCTAGAGGAGCGTCAAATTCTTCGGTGTTCTGAAGCAGAAGAAGATTGTTCCGTTCCTTCTCGCGCTTCCGCATCTCGAGAAATAAAGCGAGCTCCTCATCCTTCTCCTTCATCACAGTCCCGAGACTCCTCCCGTGTTGTCTCTGCTGTACGGACGCCTGCATTTGCGATTCCTGAGCCCGAAAGCTGCGATTCATAACCAAAGTTCCAAAAACGAGCCTCAGCGAAAGAAACGAGTAAAAGAGAGAAACCTCCCACCTAAAACCTAGCTTCTCATCCACTCCTCCGAACAAAACCGCCTCCACCCGAAACGGAAAACCCTCAAATTTCGTAAAACGCCAAAACAAGAGCAACAGATCTTAAATCTAGCTTCAAAACTGTAAACAGCAACATAGAAACTTGCAGGGAACGAAACGGCATTTCGCGTTGTCTTAACAATCAAATCTATCTCTGCCTTCCGATCTCTGCCGAGTTTACACTTGCCCTACCACGTCAGTCCCCGCGCCGTTCGATTTCTTAAGGAAACCATTCGCACGAACCAACCGCCATTTTTGCAGAAACAAAGCTCAGAGAGACAGAGAGATCTGAAACAGAGCTTGAGGTCTTTTACAGATCAAATGCGATAAAAGTTAAAACAAAAGTGAATAGATTTTGTATTATTTGCTTTTTGTCGCTTGGAGAGTGGGATGAAAACCATGCGAGATTACATGGAGGGAACAAAGCAAGAACAGGAGCCCGTTTTGTTTTTGATTTCCTTTGACAGGACAGGACGACAGGAGCAGGACGCAGCAACAGGAAGCAGGAGCAGCGCTCCCTCCCTCTCTCTCTCTCTCTGGTATGTGTTTCTCTTTCACTTGAAGTTGAAGCTGATGGCTGAAGCCTACGTTTTCAGATTTTTAAAATAGAAATAGAATACAAAGCTGAATTTTATAGTCTAAACACCCGCCATTGTGAGGTTAATCACGAAAACACCCTTCCTCTTTTGAACAAAGATGATGGATGGATCCGTGATTCCGACTTTCCGAGTCGAGTCAACTCGGTGGGACCACAGCGTGTTGGGACCCACAAATCAATCAATCACAATGAATCGTCGTCGTCGCCTTGACAGGTTGATCTCAACTGTCGAATTAAGTTCTTAATGTGGGACACTGGGACTAAAGTGCAGGGCCTTCACATGATCTGCATAGCTCGTAGCTCATACTTAGCAGTAGCAGATGTGGACGGCGCAAAGGATGATCACGTGTTCACAATTTCAACCTGTATCCGCTTATACATTTACTGCACAGTTGAATTTTCCACGTGGCAAAAACAACCATTTTTTAATGAAAATGACGTGTCTCTATTCATGTAACAAGAGTCTTTCGCCTAGGTCTGACCCGATGGACACGACGGGGTCAGTTTCGGTTATTAGGGTCGGGACCGATTCTAACCTATCCTGAACCAATTCAGACCTAACTTGAATATATATAGCAGATTTATTATCCTGTCCCGACCCTTTGACGGTCCTACCAAGTACCAACCCAAAGGCCATACTGGAATATTGGATTGGATTGCCTAACGTCTCAATCCTAACCCAACCCAACCCAACCCAAAGGCCAAAGTAATTCAATCTTTAACCCAATGTAACCTGACTTTTTTTCTGGATCAGGTTTAGGCTAACCGGCCCAAGTTGGATTCCTATCGGAAGTTGGTATCTATTGAGGCATGAGCATGGTATAAGTAGATTCTAATCGGACGTCCAAGAATATGCCTTTTGAATTCTTGGGTTTGGTGAACGAGCAATACAAGCAATACATTGTACATGTAAGGAGGTTATGCTAGAGGATGGTTTAAACTTTAATAACATCTCTATTGTTGTTTATCCAACAAAAATCAATAAAAAAGTGATTGATGCAAAATAACACCAGTACATGCATTTATCTTACCCGGGAAGTAGTAATCGGATAAACATATTCCCAAAAAAGAAAAAAAAAAAAAAAGCAAAACAAAACCGTATGCCCTATTAGTTTATCAAAAGGTTATGTTTTATAATTTTTTTTCAAGTGAGAAAATTACTTATTCACGAAAGAGATGAAATGAAAAAATATAAAACAGTTCGTCAACAGGACCAAATGAGAAAATCATTTTCCAGTCGATCAGCTTCTCCTCTCCTATTTCTCGAAAAATGAACTGGACCCAAGTAAATAATTCAAACATGATCCAATTGCCTCACCTTTAGTCCTACGTGGTCAAAGGCATAGCCCCTATTTTGGAGAATTCATTGGCCATGTTCTTTCTAACAAAAAAAGTCGTGATTCGTGAAGCTTTGTATAATGTGCCAACCTTCTTTTGTCCCAAATTTTTATGGGTAGCCTATTCAAAGGATGACTATCAAATGAACTATTCTAATATGCCACATGGCAATGATTTGGGGTCCAAGCCAGATGAACCATTCCATTAATTTCATGAATCAAAATGGACAAATTAGGTGGGTTGGGTTTGACCCATGAAGTATTATTATATATTTTCATCTGTTTAATTTTGGGATGCGCATAAAAATATTTTAATGGTTTACTTACAAGCAACACTGCCAACACACTTCCAGGAAAAAAACGACCATTTTGAAAATAGTTGAAGCCTCTTTGTTTATAATTTGGATTCATTACTTTTTAAAACTAATAGCTCACCAAAAAATGGTATTAGATGAACTAAATTTGAACCGAGCTTAAGTGCTAAACTGAACTAAATCCATCTTAATTTAAATTAAACTAACATAGCTCTAGTAATTCTACTAATAGCTAGCTGTCTAATTCCAATTCATTTGCATGTATTTGCTGCCAGAGTCGACTTCTCCATGTGGCAACAAGCCCTGGGGCCCACGTCGCTCTTTAGTCTTCACCCAATTCATTAGGAGAAATGTCAGCTTCACAGACTGAGAGGCCACATTTGGCCTCTAAAATGAGCCACGTTTAAAGTTGGTCGTCTACATTGAAGTAGGTGTGTAGGTGGGATAGACTAGGGACTAGGATAGATTGACCGGTTGACACTATCTTCCCCCATCTAAAAAATGGACCACTATATACAGCAGAGTGATGTATAGAGGGACCCTACCTTCTTCTAGTTGCACAAGTATGCTGGGTCATATAAAGGTAATCGTTTTAAGAGACCAATTATCCAATGATCTGTGCTTAACATCCTCACAACAATATAATAATATGTAATAAATAATACAAAATAACATATTAGTAAAAGAACATATGCATTTGTATGTAATACCAATAATAATAATAATGGTAGTAGTAGTAAGTTTAATGTTTAAACCTATTAAAAGGATCTAAGGTTGTGTTTGTATAGGTTTTATTATCTTGTCCTTTTTTTAACTTTTTCTTTCAAACCAAACACAATCTAAGTCTCGGTATATGGTGTTTTAGTGACCTTGAAAATTAGCGATGATTAAATTAATTGGAATCTATTTCAATATGTTTGTTACGCTCATGAAACACTGGATTAGCAGTTATGTGGAATGCTATCGTGTTGTCACAGTATAGCTTCATGGGTTGTGGATGAGAGAGACCAAATTAGAGAAGAGTTGTTTCGGCCACAACAGTTCATTGGTGGCAACTACCATTGCATGATACTTAGCTTCGGCAGAAGAGCGTGCCACTGTTGCTTGCTTCTTACTCTTCCATGACAAAGGAGAGTGTCCTAGAGTTGTGAGATAGCCAGTGACGGATTTCCGAGTGGTTGGGCAACCAGCCCAATCCGAGACAGTAAACTCGCAATTGGATATCACAATTAGCTGGAAGTAGTACTCCTTGCTCAAGTGTAGCATTTAAGTATCGAAGTACATGCATTGCAGCATCTAAATGTTATTGTCTAGGATCACTCATAAACTAACTTAGAATGTGAACTGAATAAGTGAGTTTTAGTCTCGTGATAGTGAGATAGAGAAGACGACCCACAAGTCACTTGTATTGATCAGGTTGAACAATTGGCAAGCCAGATTCATGTCCCAAGTGGTGTTGTTGCGCAATGGGAAACATACTGGGTTTGAAACCTGAAATGCCTGCATCCTTAAGAATGTCAAGGGTATATTTCCGTTGACTGAGAAAAATGTCAGAAGAAGACTGAGAGATTTCAATTCCAAGAAAATATCAAAGGAGTCTAAGGTCCTTAATTGGAAAGCACTATCGTAGGTAGTCCTTGAGAGCAAAAATATGAGCTGGGTCATTTATGGCAATCACCAAGTCATCAACATATGCAAGTACAACAAGAATGATGCCTGATTGTACTGAAGTAAAAAGGGTATTATCAGCAACTGATTGCTTGAAACCCTATTAGTGAAGAGCATGAGCTAGAGTTTCAAACCAATTGCATGAGGCTTGCTTGAGGCCATAAATGGATCTATTCAAGCGGCATACACACTGATCCTTAGGAGGCAGAAGTCCAGTTGGAGGAACCATGTAGATTTCTTCATGGAGAGTGGCATGGAGGAACGCATTGTCCATATCCATCTAATGTAGTTCTCAATTTCGGGTTGCAACTAGAGCTAAGAGGTAGTGTACTGTTATGATCTTAGCAACTGTGGCATACGTCTCTGTATAATCAATGCCTTCAGTTTGAGTGTAGCCTTTTGCTTCCAAGCAGGCTTTGTAACACTCAACGGTACCATTAGACTTAACTTTGTAGATCCAACAACACCCAATGGGAGTCTTTCCCGGTGGTAAGTCAGTCAATGTCCAGGTATAGGTGTGCTGAAGTACAACTAGTTTGGCTAACATAGCTTGCTTCCAACAGTCATGTTCGCTCGCTTCATCATAACAAGGCTCAATTTGTGTAGAGGGGATTTGATCAATGACAGTGAACACAGTATTTTCGCTTCCATTTATGGCCATTCTTGTCGTTGATGGAAGAGGATTCAAATCAAGAACCAAGAAGAGGGCTGGAATTAAGAATCAGAGGTTTCTGTGAGAGCCTGGTGCTCTGATACCATGTAATTTGGTAACAGGACAAATGGCAAAGAAAAAATCGTTTCTCTTTCATTAAACTTATCAAATATATACACATTTATTATAAGGAGCTAAGGAGGCTGACGCAAACATTCACCATAACAGATTCATAACAAACTCCATGGCAAGTGTAAATCTCATTGCAACTTGCTTCAACCGGTATTCTCCTAATAGAAACCACAAACTAATTAAACAAAAAAATTAATAAATGTCAGATATTTTTTTGGGTAAATTTCTTAAACTACCCTTATGGTTTAGTGAATTGACTAAGTGTACCCTTATTGTTTGAAAATTGACTAACACTACCCCTAGTGTTTCTAACAATTGACTAATACTTTCCTTATCGTCAGTGTCCATTCAGGTTAAAAAGATTATTTTGCCCATCATTCTTCTTTAAATTTTCAAAATGAAACTTTTAACACCTTTCTAATATTGCCAGTTTTATCTCCACACTGAAAATCTCTCAGTAAATTTTATATGATTGATCAGTACAAAAAAAAAATCATTAGAATAATTTTTGATCAACAAAAAAATGATGAACCAGAAGCAAAAACACAAGCAGATTAGGTATCTATTACTCTGTTTGAGTTTGGGGCTGGTTTCAGTCCTTCTGGTTCAATCAGATGATGATAACATGTATATAGATGGAACTACTGGCTTTAGATATGTTTTTCCGGGATGGCATTTGAAAGTGTCATTGACAACGGTAGAGCCAGTAGCTTCAGATTGCTGAAGTCTAAACCAATGAAAGCCACCCACTGATGGCATATGCAGTGGGGTGGAATATTCTAGTTCATGCCTAATTGCTCCGCCAATTCAGGTGATTGGGAAAGCCAAGTACATTTCTCTAAGAGTTCGGTGACCCCTCATTTTTGAGTGCTCCGACTTTTTCGA